AGTCAGAAAACAATTCTGAACAAATGATGAACAGCAGCATTTTAATATTTCTTATAGTCTTTTTGTACACGCTTTTAAACCTCTCACTCACCACGGATGCTTTTAAAATAGCATCATTAAACCTGAACGGGGCCAGAGAGGCTGTGAGGCATGAACTGGTTTACCAAACCATAAAGTATAAAAAAATGGACGTTTTATTTTTACAAGAGACACACAGTGATCCATCCAATGAGACAGAGTGGCGCAGGGAGTGGGAAGGGGAGGCCTTTTTTAGCCACGGCACCTCCCAGAGTGCAGGAGTGGGACTCCTCTTCTCTAAAGCTTTTACTCCCAGCCACATAGAGGAGGTGCAACACATTGTTCAGGGAAGGTGTATTTTAGTCATAGCTGGGTTTGAACATTTTAATGTAACTTTTATTAATATTTATGCTCCCACGGCCAATGCAGAGAAACAACGTTTTTTAGAAAAAATTGGGGAAAGGTTGGGAGATTGTGGGTTTGAAGATTATGTTTTTATAGGAGGGGATTTTAACTGTACTGAAAACGAGTTTTTAGACCGCAATCATGCAGAGCCTCATCCAGCAGCCCAACGCGCTCTGCGGCAGCTGGTCTCGTCTCATGGCCTGGTGGATGTATGGAGGAGGATGCACGCAGGCTCCAGACAGTACACGTGGTCCCACTGTAAGGAGAATCGCATTTCTTTGGCTCGCCTTGACCGGTTTTATTGTTTTAAACATCATTTTAATGTGTTTAAAGCCTGTCAGATTTTACCAGTAGCTTTTACGGATCATTCGCTGGTTTTAGGTTTTTATCAGAAACATCTTACCTAAGAGCGCCTACTGGCATTTTAACTCCGTTTTAACTTATGACCGTAGTTTTAAAGAGATTCTGAGTTATTTTATGAAGGTTTTTAGACAGAGGAAGGGTGATTTTACATGTCTGCAACAGTGGTGGGACCACGGGAAAGTACAAATAAAACAGCTGTGTCAACAGCACACGCTCAATGTTACTCGCAACATCACAAGATCTATCAAAGATCTGGAGACTGATATAGTGGAACTAGAGCACCTCAGTGAAACCACAGGAAATCGAGAGCACATTGAAGCCCTCAAATCTAAAAGGTTAGTTTTAACAAACCTGCTGGACGCAAAAGTCCAGGGTGCGTTGGTCAGGTCCCGGATGCAGAACATCAGAGATGGATGCACCTTCCAGCTTCTTCTTCAGCCTGGAGAGGAAGCACGGGCAGAGAAAACTCATCCACTCTCTGTTGTCGGACACCGGGCAGCAGCTGAGCGAGCCGAGCCAGATCAGGAGGAGGGCTGTGGAGTTTTACTCCTCGTTATTCGAAAGCGAATACGTGAGGAACGACGAGCTGTTCAGGGAGTTCTGCAGTGGACTACCCCAGGTCTCTGAGGAGACCAACGCCGACCTGGAGTGCCCACTGGGGCTTCAGGAGCTCCACACAGCCCTCCAAAACATGCAAGGCCAGAAAGCTCCCGGCGTCAACGGACTCACTGTGGAGTTTTATAAGGCCTACTGGGACATCCTGGCAGAGGATCTGCTCCATGTCTTCAGTGAAAGCCTGACCACTGGTTTGCTCCCACTGTCGTACTGCAGAGCGGTCGTCACCCTCCTGCCCAAAAAAGGGAACCTGCAGGAGATGAATAATTGGCGCCCGGTGTCCCTTCTCTGCACCGACTACAAAATCCTCTCCAAGGTCCTGGCAACCAGGATGAGAGAAGCAATGGAACAGGTCATCCATCGAGACCAGACTTATTGCATCCCCAGCAGGTCCATGGTAGATAATATCTACCTGATTCGAGATGTTTTGGAAGTCTCCAGTTCACTGGGTCTGAACACAGCGTTGGTCTCACTTGACCAAGAAAAGGCTTTCGACCGCGTTGAGCACAGCTTCCTCTGGGAAACCAAGGAGGGGTTCGGGTTCAGCGCTGGTTTTATAGCCAAGATCCAGGTGCTGTACAGTAACATTGAGAGTGTGCTGAAAGTCAACGGTAGCCTGTGTGCTCCTTTTAGGGTGTATAGGTGTTCGGCAGGGCTGTGCGCTCTCTGGAATGCTCTATGCGCTCTCCCTGGAACCCCTCCTTAAAAAGATCAGTTCGAGTGTTCGTGGTTTAGTTTTACCTGGTTTTAACAGTAACATAATTTTATCCGCCTACGCTGATGACGTTGTTGTTTTTATAAATAACCAACAAGATGCCGACACGCTAAGTGCGGTCACCGAGAGTTTTTCCACCCTGGCTGCTGCGAGGGTGAACTGGGTAAAGAGCACAGCCTTCGCCGTGGGTGAGTGGCCTGAAGGGCTCCCAGTTCTCCCTCAAAACCTCCCGTGGAAGAGAGACGGGCTTAAATACCTCGGCATCCATCTAGGGGATGAAGCTCAAGTGCAAAAGAACTGGGAGCAAATTAGGAAAATGGAAATGGCTACACACTCAAATGTCCTACAAAGGCAGAGTGTTGGTTTTAAACAACCTGGTCGCATCACAACTGTGGCACAAACTTTGTGTTTTAGACCCACCTCTAGGCCTGTTGGTAAAGATCCAGTCTGAGATGGTGGAGTTCTTTTGGAAAGGTCGACATTGGGTGCCGCGCAGTCTGTGCTGTTTTTACCGAGAGAGGAGGGGGGACAGGGCCTTGTCCACCTGGCCAGCAGAACGGCTACGTTTCGATTACAGTTCCTCAAGAAATACCTGGCGGGACCTCTTGACACTGTGTGGAGGGACGTGGCCAGCTGCATTCTTAGATGCGCGAGCGGGTTGGGGCTGGATGCTGCTCTGTTTCTGACCAATGTTAGCCTTTTAAAGTTAAAGAGGTTACCCCAGTTTTACCAGAGTGTTTTTAAATTGTTTTCCTTTTTTAACCCAAACAGATCAAGAATGTATAAGTCTCTGCATTGGCTTTTAGAGGAACCGCTAATCTGTGGTGCAAGACTAGACGTGTCCGATAGCACGGTACCAGGTCTGTCAGGGGTGCTGTGCGGGTCTGGGATGGTGACTCTGAGGCAGCTGGTGGAGACGGCCGGTCCGGACTTCTCCAGCATCTGGGAGGTGCTTTTGCTGCTTGGAGTCCGGTCTGCCAGGCTGGTGCGGCGCTTCCTGGACTGGGTGAAGGAGAGGATCACAGCAGGGGAGGAGCGTCTCCTGCAGCTGTGGTCCGGGGGAGATCACCTGCCTGACCCAACGGACCCCTTCCCGGACATCAACCTAGATCCTGACTTCGCGGACAGTAGTGGACCTCTGCTGTGCAACACGGACCCACAAATAGACTTGTGCACAACGGGTCCAAAAGTGCTCTATAAGACTTGTGTTAAAGTCCTAAACAAGATAACTCGGCACAACAGAGCTGTCAGTGTGTGGGACGGCAAGTTTGGAGGACAGAAGCCCGAGTGGAGGACGCTTTACAAACCTCACATAAAAAAACGGACTGGTGATCTCCAATGGAGGATACTTCATGGCGCCTGATATAAAAATATGTTTTATAAAAATATAAGTTGCCTTTATGCCTATTCAAACATATATATATTTTGTGTGTGTTACTTTTCAGAATTAAATGTCTAAATTGCCATAAAAGGCAAGGGTGGAATGATATATGAATGATTATTTTGATGCTTTTATGTCAATTAATACTTATACTCACTTTTGATGTAGCTTATCTGCCCAAAGTCAGGCCTGTGCTGCAGATGTGTTTTGGAGTAATTAAAGTTCTCTGGGGGATGCTCTAACCAGAAGACCTGGCCCATCTTAAGGTTACGGTGACCCAGATTTTGAAGGACATGTTTTTATCCTCAGGTGTGGTGCCAAAGACTTTTAAACATGCTGCTGTCCAGCCCCTCCTGAAAAAACCTAACCTTGACCCCTCAGTCATGTCCAACTTCCGGCCTGTCTCCAGACTCCCATTCA